TCATAGCGCCTTACAGACCCTTTTAAGCCAGGGGTGTCAAACTCAATGCCATTGAGGGCCACATCAGGGTTGTGTTGGACCTTAGGGGGGAAGGCGGGGGGGGGTGTAGCATGGCATGTCAGGGGGCACCTGTGGTGGCCTGAGTGCTCAGCCATAAAAAAATGGACTCCCCATCTCAGTTTTCGGCTGGGATGGCCTCCTGCAATACCCAGCCCTCAGAAGCTCCGTTTTTGCTGGAAGAAGCACCGTGGGCCACCCCTTAGCTGTCTCCAGGGCGGCCTCACAGGCCAGACCTAAGCATCCCCCAGGCTGGATGCAGCCCCCGGGCCTTGAGTTTGACACCCCTGCGGTCAGCCCTGGATCCATCTTGACTTTGTCTTGGGAGTTTTGAATCGCATGGAGAGTTTAATTGGAACGCTGCCATCTGCTCTAAGTGGCTCAGCCTCAGCATATTGACCCCAACAATCTGGGTAGAGGCTGATTCAGACAAGACCCCTACTACAATTTGTACACAGGTTTACAATATCCACACATGAATCCTCATGTTGACATGAGTTTCCAGATGCAAATTCTGTATTAGAACAAAAAGGCAGCTCCATTCTCCTCCCACCTGACATTACATTTTTCACCCTGCATAATCAGAACATTCTTCCTCCTTCTCATATATTGACTTTTACCCGTTTCACAGTCCCAGAGTCGACAACTGTTATCTGCTGAGCCGGTCAAGACATGTCTTGTGTCCCCTGAAAAAGCAGTCAAGGAACCACGCAAAATACATGAGGAGTAGCAGGAAACAGAAATGAACTACTACATGATTTAAACAAATAAACCCTGTGAATTAAATTGACATACATGACTAAAACTTTGTCTGTAATCTTTAACTGGGCAAAACAATGCAGTGCTGAGCAAAACGTTTTCAACCAAGGAACGTCAAATGGGTTAACTTACAGAATGCATCCAAAAGCTGGAACCCAGGATTCCTGTGAAATGGACCTTTAGCAAATTATGTTATGACAAACATGGTCACATAAAGCATTTCATGACAGAATGCAGAACGAAATAAAACATTTCCTATAATCAACTATTGTCATTTGACTGTGCTATACAGTTCAACATGGGTTACTTCCAAGACATTAAAGAATCTGGGAGGAAAATATCTCTGAAAACAATGACACAATGATTCATAGGTTGTCGTGTGTGTGTGTGTGTGTGTGTGTGTGTGTGAGAGAGAGAGAGAGAGAGAGAGAGAGAGAGAGACAGACAGACAGACAGACAGACAGATAAGATGATCAGCTTCAATATATACATGAGCTATTCTCAAGTAACTTTTAAAAAATGTGATTTTGTACACTAAAAGCAAAGGATACAATCAGCGTCCACACACCAGACTGCACCAGTGTGGCCAGTGTATGTGCCAAGTCTCTCACCATTGACAGAGTACCAAACATTAACAATCTGATAAAAGAAAAATAAGGTAAATTTAATAAAATACAACCATAGTGTTAAAACTGGTACATATTAACAATTTCCTGATTAAATGTTTTGATCAGTCAGTAACTTATAGACAAGATAAACTGACTTAGAATTGATTATATAATACACTGAGTAAAATTAGAAAGTAGTATTAATGACGAATGAAGAACTATCTTTAATACAACTAAATCCACTGACAAACAGGTTTCACAAACTCTTGATTAACAACTCTTAGATTATTACAGGTTGTGAAAAATATTGTGAACAAGCCATTCTGACCAGATTTTAATTGACTATGGTGACTAATATTCACAGAAATAAATTTCTATTTTTCTTCCTTCCATTTTTCTCTCCTATTAGGATAGTAGGAAGAGATACTCTGTTAGGCTGAGAAAAACGCATAAACTAAGGTAACCATTCCATGATAACATACCGGATCTTTTGCTACTGTAAAAAGCAAATCACCTTCCCGATTATATTTGATCTGAGTAATTGACCTCTCGTGGCCTTGCAACAAAATAGGTTTCTGTAAAGAGAAATTTTTTAAAAAGATGTTAACACTGCTTGCTTCCAATGACAATGTTAGAAAATATCCCTGTCATTTATAATGCTACAGTTGCTATTCAACTGTGGAAAGATGGAATAAAATAACAACATGCTGGCCAATAGAATTGAAATTCCAGGTGTTGGTTTTAAGGGGTGAAACAGGTGACAATAACATTTCTTCTGTAAGAAAATAATAAAAAAATAAAACAAAAAGGTCAAATTTAAAGATATACTGGGTTTTTCTTTTAGCGACCCTGTAATCCAGCGGTGTCAAACTGGCTAGTGGGCCAGATGCAGGCCATGTCCACCCAAGCTCCGCAAATTATATCACGTGATATCATGTTACGTGGTCAACTTTGACACCTGTGCTGTAATCTTTTGCATTGGGGTGGAGTTGGATGACTAGATGGAGCTGAGTGTTTGCTAGCTGCTGGCTGCCCTATGTGGCATTTGCAGCAGATGTTTTCTTTTTGTGCCCAGAGACAGAGCCACTACCTAGGATTGAACTCACAGCTTCCTGATTGTGAAGTGAGAGTTCCACCTCCAGGCCACTCTAACAATGTACTGTAATATCTTACATTTATTTGTTTCAAGCATGAAGATGAAGAAGGTGCTGGGAGGGTAAGAAAAGATAAGATCATTCAAGTTTAAAAGAAAAGTGTGAGTGTCCCTTAAGGTTTTTAACAACTAAGAAACGAAATTGACCATACTGCGAATTTAACAGGATGTACTACCTAGTAAACAGACTCAGAATTACAACTTGAGTATAATGAATTTCTATTTTTGTGCTCATCCTTTCCCCAGGAAAGGGGAATGAGATGCCCAGAGATGTGCAGGATGCTCTAGCATAGATATATACACACACACCGGTTTATGACATTTAGATTCATTATTTTTTGTTATTTCTTTCAGCCGCTATTAATTAGGATACAAAATAGAGTAAAATAGAACAGAACAGAACAGAATAGACAAATGTATATTTTCTTTTATGTACACCAGGGGTCTTCAAACTTGACAGCTTAAAGACTTGTGGACTTTAACTCCCAGAATTCCTGAGCTAACGTGCCTGGAGGAGGAATTCTGGGAGTTGGAAGTTCACAAGTCTCAAAGCTGTCAAGTTTGAAGACCCCTGGTGTACATAAAAGAAAAGATACATTTGTCAAGAATCATAAGGTACAACACTTTAGTAATAATAATAGTAATAATAGTAGTAATAGTCATAAATCCAGGAATGATCTTTTAGGCTGCCGTAATATTGCTTTCCAAAGCACTGAATCTTATTATTCTGTTTTCTCATTCTTTGCATTGGTTTTATTGAGGCAGCTTTATTTAATTTTATTTTCTGGCAAGCTCCTCTGAATTGAAGCACAGGAACAATGCTTGTAAAATTATCGACTTAGCCCAGGGGTCCCAAAACTTGGCCACTTTAAGACTTGTGGATTTCCACTCCCAGAATTCCTCAGCCATAATTGAAGTCCACCAGTCTTAAAGGGGCCAAGTTTGGGGACCCCCGGTATAGGGTCCCTGGCTTGAACAGGGGTTGGACTAGAGGACCTCCAAGGTCCCTTCCAACCCTATGATCATATACTCGATTAGCTATGCTGGCTGGAGAATTCTGGGGGTTGAAGTCCACCAGTCTTAAAGGGGCCAAGTTTGGGGGACCCCGATTTAGCCCCAAAGTAAAACGTTCCTTCTTTTAGGGAACCTTTCCTCGTACTCAGGACCCTGATCCGCTCACGTTCACACTGAAAGAGGCGCCACTGGGTTCAACCCGGAGTAACTTCCCCGTAGACCTGCGAGATCTTTTCCTAATAACTTTTGGAGCCCAGGAAAAGTAGCGGGCCCACCTTCCTCCCCACAGGGAATCGACCACCCTCCGGATTAATGGACTTAACTACTTAATCTAGTTAAACTAATTATTTATTGGCATTAAGGAATCCAAGACTTACCATGGCTGCTGCAACAACGCCGGCAGCACGAGCGGAAGGCACAAAGAAGCACTTCCGGGGCGAGGACGAAGGCATCGCTTCCGGGTCAGGCCAAAAGGAAACGGCCCTGGCAAGGTCTAGAGAAAAGAGAAGCGAGTTGGGTATACATTCACTTCCGGTGCTGTTCAGAATGGCCTCCATTGGCGGGGCAAGTTGAGTTTCCTATCAATGAATAAATGTACGGAGGAGAAAGTTATTGAAAAAATATTTGACTGTGCGGAAATGAATAGATTAGCATTAGAAATTAAAGAAAAAGAAGAATCTGAATATTACACGGTATGGGGTTTATTTTACCAATGGTTAGAAGATAAAATAAATTAAAATGGGTTAGATGAATATATAAAGCAATAAGAGAAGATTGCAAAAATAGATATATTGGGTATTACTTATATGAAAATGTGGTTATTGTTATATTGTTACACTGATAAGAAGAGTATTAATTATAAACTGTAAGCACATGAAATATGTACCTAATCGACAGACGTTTGAAATGGAATGGATTTATAGTATATAAAAAAATAAAAAGAATTATTATTCAAGAATGAATGTATAATACTAATTAAAAGAAGACTTATTTTGATCTGCCGGAGGAAAGCTGTCCCTTGCATAAAGTTTCACTATGCTTCAACAGTTTTTTTACTTCACAAAACAAATCGGAATGAACCGAATCGTTTGAGATGGAAAGGACCGTTGCATTGGAAAGCTTCATCTCCCCCCTCCGCAAAACAGGGATCCCCAAACTTGGCCCCTTTAAGACTGGTGGACTTCAACTCCCAGAATTCTCCAGTCAGCATAGCTAATAAAGAGTATATGATCATGGGGTTGGAAGGGACCTTGGAGGTCCTCTAGTCCAACCCCTGTTCAAGCCAGGGGCCCTATACCGGGGGACCCCAAACGTGGCCCCTTTAAGACTGGTGGCCTTCAACTCTGGCTGAGGAATTCTGGGAGCGGAAGTCCACAAGTCTTAAAGGGGCCACGTTTGGAGACCTCTGTCGTAAAGATCGACTTAATTCGTCCTCCGACAAGAGTTTGGCAATACACGAGGGGCTCTTGGGGCGACTCCCGCCCCCTCCGCTCCCCACCCCGCCAGCGGGATGTAGGGCTGAGCCATAGAGATGTATGTAGAGATCAACACCGGCTGACGGCTGTTTTCCACGAAGAACAAATACTTCGCGGGACTCTATGGTGCCCCAGTCGCCATGGCGTCGCTGGGTGAGGGATCCTCTTCCGGTGCCTTAGAAATGGGGGGAGGATAAGAGGTGGGGAATGCTTTAAAAGCGGGGATCAAGGGTCTTTCAAACTGGGCAGCTTTAAGACTGGCGGACTTCAACTCCCAGAATTCCTGAGCTAACATGGCTGGAGGAGGAATTCTGGGAGTTGAAGTCCGCCAGTCTTAAAGCTGCCCAAACTGTCTTTCATTGCTCCAAGCAATGCTCCAAGCCGGAGGGGTTCTGATAGTAAATGTCCTACTTGCTGGGGAGGGTGGATTTGTAATTGCACCAGAGCCTGCGGAGGCTGCACTGCCATTAAAAAAAAAAAAAAACCGCCCCACCGAGAAACCATTATGGCTGTACATGATGCTCTCCCCGTCTCCCAAAGGAGCTCAGAATTGCTTGGGAAGGGGGGGGGGGTCTAGAAATTGGGAAGGGACACTGATACACCCCCCCTCTCACACACACCCCTCCAGTAGGTAAAGAAGACGCACAGAGGAGTTGGGAGGGTCCTCGGATGCCACCTTGGCATAGGGACTCAGTGGTGGGATTCATTTTTTTTTTAACTACCGATTCTGTGCGCATGGTGGGCATGGCAGGGGAAGGATACTGTAATTCAAGGGTCTCCAAACTTGGCAACTTTAAGACTTGTGTACTTCAATTCCCAGAATTCTCCACAAGCCAAGTTTGGAGACCCCTGCTGTAAATTCTCCATTTCCTCTTCACTCCAGGGGAAGGATACTGCAAAATCCCATTTCCTCCCCATCCCACTAACTTGCTTTCCAGCTCCGTTCTCCTGTGCAGGGCAACCAAAGAAGACCCAGCCGATCAGCTGGGACTAAATGGGAGGCAGGGAAGAGATGGGGTTGGTGGGGCCAGTCAGAGGTGGGATTTGCCGGTTCTCCAAACGACTCAAAATTTCCACTACCGGTTCTCCAGAACTGGTCAGAACCTGCTGAATCCCACCAGTGCATAGGATCCGCTCAAGTAAATCCGGACTTTTTCTGGCCAGGCTTAAAGGTTCAGCCTGAGGACCTTGTGCATGCAAAGCAAGGGTTCAGTTGCAGAGCTTCTCCATTTCTGAGGTCGGGAGTCACATCTATTGGCCTTGATTTGAGTTTGATTATTGACCTGTGTGAATGGGATTAGGGCAATTGAAAGGATGGATTAAGTAAGCGCTGCAAATCCTTTTTCATTCATCTTTGTGGGGTGTGCCAGTCTGCAAAATTTAAACACTGCAGCCCTGGACTCCTCCTTCAAGAATGTTTGGTTTTGTATCATTTGCTCCTTGATTTTAGGTATAAATAACTAAATTACAGGTAACCCTTGAGAGACAACCATAATGGAACCTGCCCTCTATAGTTGTAAGTCGTAACAGTTGTAAAATGTGGCCAATATGATTTTACAACCTTTTAAAGCAATCATTAAACAGACAAAGGCATAAAGCCTCAAGGTAGGTTTGTTGTAACTTTGAAGGTTACTAAATAACCTGTCATAAGTTGAAGACTGCCTGTAATAGGACTTGATGCTAAACAAGGTACAATTTACTTAATGCCTTATACATCAATATATTTGTATTGAAAGAAAAGGGAAGGGTGATTATTCATCTATTAGCTACTGTCTTTCTTACCAAGGAATACAGTTCTAAAGGATGAATAACTCCCATGAGTACTTCATTAAACAATTTGTTGATATTTGTTGATACCATCTTCTTGCAGGTAATGTTGCAGCTTTGATTTTGGTAGCCATTCTTTGGGGAACAACCAATCCATTTCTGAAAAGAGGAACTGAGGGTCTGGAACGGGTAAAGAGAGAAAGCAGATTTCAGCAGATGCTGGCTGAAATAAAGTTCCTTTGCCTGAATTACAAGGTATTTGCCATTTTATACAGCACTCTTCACACTACTTTTTTGTAACCTTAACTACTTTAAGATGTGTGGCTTTCAATTTCCAGAATTCCCCAGCCAATTGAAGTCCAGGTGTCTTAAAGTTGCCATGTTTGGGAAACCATCTTCTATAGTGCAAAGCATTCCGTCATGGAATTCAAAACAGACCTATGTTGAGTGTTCCGCTGTTTTGAGATCCGGCCACTCAGAGAGCCCAGTTCTTCTTAATCTTAACCATTACCTGAAACTCCTTTGCAACAGGAATCTGAATTACCTGTGCCTGGGGGCCACAGCATAGCACCTTTACCCCTGCAGACATTTCCTGTCATTAGACCACACCTCCTGCCTTTTTTTAAAAAAACAACAGCCTTTTAATTAAAACATGGGATTGGAAGCTGACTTCTCTTTTGAAAAGGAAGATAAACTAGAAACAGGAACTAACTTTCTGGGGCACTGGCAGCGAGTAAAGGGATGCCCTTCATGATAGACATTATTTCTTCATGCTCGTGAAACAGAATCAAAATGTTCCTATTGACCCAAGAAGTAAGTGATCCCTGGCCAGGTCTGGGGGAAGAAAATACTACGGAAGGTACCTAGACTGCACCAGCCTGTTCATATCACAAGATATTTTTTTTTCTAAATCTTACATGATACTGTAATAAGATACTTATATGGTATTAAATTTAATTCTTTTTTTACTTGATGCTATTACAGTAATCAGGCTTTGATTCTTTGATTACAGCATTTAGTTGCTTTCCCAATGGAGAAGTAATTCAGTGTCTAAATTTAATTTAATTTAAAATTAATTTTGTTTAATTCAGAATATTTGAAAAATAATGTCCGTTTTCCTCTCAGATAGAAGACTGTTCAGAAAGCCACTAGTCAGCAATGATCTTTTAAAATTGTTTTGACCCAGGAGCATGTTTGAAAAAAAGTATATGATGCATTATAATAACTGGAACACCTGGGATTGTGTTGTCCCTGGTTATCAGAAATTGGTTTAAATTAAGTAACCCTGAAGCTCTCTCCCAACTATTTTTTTTTTCCCTTGCAGTATATGTTACCATTTATACTAAACCAGTGTGGCTCATTCATCTACTATATCGCATTAGCATCCACAGGTTGGTCCTTAATTAATTACTGCCAATGTCAAGATTCGAGGAGGAGGTGATTTAAAGTGGGGACTCTGATTATTGTGGGGGATTACTCAGATACCTACTGCAGAGAGACATAATTTTAAAAATCCAATTTCTGTGATTGTGTCACCAAAATGGGAGTAACTCAGTCCTTAATAGATTTCAGAGCAGGATTACCTTCATTAAAAAGAAACAGAATTCTGATGCACATTCAAAAGTAGCAGGGTTTTAATCACATGATCAGATACTATCTAGATTTCTTTGAGCTCCAGTGTGGTCGCCTTTGGTGCCCTCAAGATATGTTAATTGCAGTTCTTGAATTCCGATCCAATATGGTTGGTAGAGACCAGTAAAAGAATAGGTAGAAGATAAGTGAAGCTTGCTGGAAAGTTGCTACAGAATCAAATATTGGAAGTACCATATTTTTCGGTGTATAAGACACACTCCCCCGCGCCCCCCGAAAAGTGTGTGGAGGTGTCTGTGTCTTATATAGCGAATGTTGCCAAAGCCCCACCCATCTGCCGGACCCCACCTTTCGGCCTCTGCCTCCCAGCAATTTGCCCCATTCCGATCCCCGCCGCCTAGAGTGGGTCAAAAATGGGGCATGCGAAGGCCGAAAATGGGGTGCATGGAGGCAGCAATAGGCGATGGTGATCCTTGCAGCCTGAAACAGCTGATCGTTGGGAGGACGATCCAACCAACAATCAGCTGCTTATGCTAATCAGGCTGTGCTGAAGCTGAGCAGGCTGTTTGCTGCAAGGAGGCAAATTGCTGGGAAGCAGTGGCAGATTTTTCTTCTTGTTTTTCTCCCCAAAAGCTAGGTGCGTCTTATACTTCGGAGCGTCTTTATAGTCCAAAAAACATGGTAACTGCCATCTTGCCAATATTGTCCTATGTGGAAATCCCTGAATGTGGAGATCCAGTTAATATGTTTTTAGGAAGGATTTCCTACCAGAATTGTTCCCCAGCCAAACACAAACTTCAGATGAAGTTTCCCTTTGATTAGGGTTATCTCCTCAGTGGTTTTTATTTGTTTTGATCAGATAATTCTGCATTAAGTGTTCCACTTTCCATTTCAGACCTAACCTTGGCTGTGCCTCTTTGCAATTCCTTGGCCCTGGTCTTCACAATCGCAACAGGGAAAGTTCTTGGGGAAAACATAGGTGGCACAAGTAGGTGTCTAATGGCTTGATCAGATGCAAATTCTGTCCTCCTTGTTGCTTTATATTTATATATATTTATATTGAGTTCAGTGGTGGGATTCAAATAATTGAACAACAGCCCTAATGGCTGGCTGGGTAGGCATGTCTGGGTAGTCATGTGACTGGGTAGGCATGGCCAACTTGTCACTCACATCAAATAGCCCCTCCCCTGGCCTCTCCTTGCCTCTCCCCTCCCAGCCACTCCTCGTCTCGTCTTGCATGTTATGGTGAAAATAAGCTTTTTCAAAGTCATCTTCCTCTTGATACTAGACAATAAGATGAGATTTTGCTATCTCAGAAGACCTGATGTCCATTTCCAAGTATTGTTTATCACAGGGGTCACCAACTTTTTGGACCTCAGGGACCACCAAACTCATAATTTTAAATCCCAGGGACCACTAACCGGTTCTGTGGGTGTGGCCTAATTTATGGGTGTGGCTTGGTGGTCATGTACATATTATAAATATTTATATAAATATTGAAATTTTTATTTAAAAATGAGCAACTTTTACCCAAAATCAGGCAAATCAGGCAGGCAAATTGAGTTGATCACAGAATCACAGATTCATTCAGAGATCTATCTGCCATCGGCTAGCTCAGTCTGTCACATAAAATTTGGTTACAAGCAAACTCATAAAATTTGCTAACAAGCAAACTCACAAAATTAACTCACAACACACCATGTATGTAAATACTGAATTTTTTATTTAAAAAAAGAGCAACTTTTACCCAAAATCAGGCACAGCAGGCAGGCAGATTGAGTTGCTCACAGAATCATTCAGCGATCTATCTATTTGCCATCACCTACCTGAGGCTGTCACATAAAATTTGCTTGCCATGAGTCTGCACTGAACATTCAGTCCTAAGAGAGGTTCGGCTGTGCTTAAAAGCAGAGCCAAAGATCTAAAGACTAGCTAGAAAGCAAGAAATCCAACCATTTCCTGCTAATCTAAATCTCCCGGCACAGCAGAACAGCTGATGGTTGGGAAAAAAAGGAAAAATAGCAATTTAGCAGGCAGGTTTGCCAGGTAAGGAGTGAGTGGGCCGGGAGGGTTCCCGTGGGCCAAGTGGGTGGAGTAGCCTTGTGTTTCTGCACAGCCTGGATGAATTGCTTTGGAGGGGTACTCTGGGGGTGAGATTTCTCTACGGCCCACCAAAATTGGCGCACCAGTTGACGACTGCTGGTTTATCACTATTCTCTTGGTAAGACTGAATGGAGAAATTTATAAAGAATAACAGAGTTGGAAGGGATGTTGGAGGTTTTCTAGTCCAACCCTGTTCAAGCATGAGACCCTATACCCGGGAGGTGAACCTATGGCACACGTGCCAAAAGTGGCACGCAGAGCCATTACTGCCGGCACGCAAGCCCTTGCCCAGAGAAGGTCTACTGCACATGCACACGCAGCCCACCCGCCAGCTGATTGTTGGGTATCTGGTGCACATGCGCAGGGGCGGGGGTGCGCGGGAGACATGCACACATGCGCAGATGCGTGACACACATGGGGTTGCTCACACATGCGCAGAGACATGCAGCGCACGGGGGATCGCACACGTATGCACAGGGGGCGTGGGGAGAACCTGAGCACGTTGCCTTCTGGGTGCTGGCACGTAATTATCGGCACAGGAGCCCAAAAAGGTTAGCCACTGTTGCCCTATACTAATATGGACAAATTTCTTCTTAAAAATTTCTTCTCCAGCGATGGTCTACCCACAACTTCTGAAGGCATCCCATTCCTCTGATTAATTGTTCTCACTGTCACGAAATTTCTTATTTCTAGGTTGGATCTCTGTTTGATAAGTTCCCATCTTTTATTTTTTGTGAACCCCTAGGTGTTTCGGAGACTAGGTTGCCATCCTCTTCTTTGTGATGGCCCCTCAAATATTGGAAGATTGCTATCATGTCACTCTTAGCCAGGGGTGGGATTCAAATTTTTTAACAACTGGTTCTGTGGGCATGGTTTAGTTGGTGGCTTAAGTGGTGGTCATGTGACTGGGTGGACATGGCTTGGTGGTCATGTGACTGGCTGGGCGTGGCCAACTCAACATCACACACATCGAGGCACGCATCTCCTTGCCTGGCCTCTCATGACGGTGGAGATGCTGCAACAGTCGTAAGTGTGAAAAAAGTCACTTTTTTCAGTGCCATTATAACTTTGAATGGTCACTCCACACAAGCAAAGTACCAGCAAAGGAGGGGAAAAAAACCTCCAGAGACAAGAAGTGTAGTCCTGCCAAGAATGCAATAAGGATTAACGGAGGAGCAGTTGCTGTAAGCAACACCAGAATATTTCCTTCCTGCCTTCCTTACAGGATTAGGCCAGTAATTTCTTCTAACAACCTATTCTCCGCTTAGAATGTTAACAACCGGTGCTAGCGAATAGGTGTGAACTGGTAGAATCCCATCCCTGCTCTTAGCCTTTCTCTTTGTTAGACCAGACTTATCTAGTTCCTACAACCATTCATCATACTTTAGCCTCCAGCCTTCTAATCATCTTTGTTGCTCTTCTCTATATTTTTTCTAAAATCTTGATATCTGTTTGCCAAAATTGGATACAAGATGCCAAGTGTGATCTTATAAAGCAGTCTATAAACTATGAAGTACTAATACTTCATGTGATCTTGATAGCAGATACCAGGCTTAATAGCAGTACCTGTGAGAAATGAGAAAGCTATAAAATAAGCCTGAGGGGGGTATTTGAGGAAAAACAAATGGAGAATATACAAAGTAGTGATAAAATATGAAACTGAATATGAAAGATGAATATGAAATTGAGATTATATCTGTGTGGAGAAGTGAAAACCTGGAACCACGCTGCTCACTAAAAAAAGATGTTCTATTTTACCTTTTTGTTTTGTGAAAAATCAAAATTGTGTAAAAAAATAGCAGTAACTGTGAGAGGGATCTTGGAGTCTTAGCGAACAACCAATTAAATATGAGCCAACAGTGTACAGAGAAGCCAAAAAAAGGCCAATGCAATCCTAAGTTGCATTAATAGAGGTATACAGTCAAGATCAAATGAGGTACTAATACCACTCTATAAAGCGACAACTAGAGTACTTCATCCAGTTTTGGACACCACACTATAAAAAGATGTTGAGACTCTAGAAACAGTGCAGAGAGGAGCAACCAGAATTATTAGGGGACTGGAAACTAAAACATACGATAAACAGTTACAGGAATTGGGCGTGGCTAGTCTAGTGAAGAGAAAGACCAGGGGAGACACAATAGCAGTGTCTGAAGGCCAGACAAGGAATAATGGATGGAAACTGAACAGGGAGAGATTCAACCTGGAAATAAGGAGAAATTTTCTGACAGTGAGAGCAATCAATCAATGGAACAGAAGTTGCCCTCAGAAGTTGTGGGAGCTTCATCCCTGGAGGCTTTCAAGAAGAGACTGGGCTGCCATTTGCCGGAAATGGTGTAGGGTCTCCCGCTTGGGCGGGGTGTTGGACTAGATGACCTAAAGGTCCCTTCCAACTCTGTTAATCTGTAGATACTGATATTATTCCTCTGTTGATGCAGTCAAGGACTGCACTGACTTTTTTGGCAGTTGCAGCACACCTATGACTCCTACTTAAGAGGTTGCCCCCTAGGATTCCCAGATCTGTCAGTGAGTCTGGGCAGGGGGGAGGATGCGAACTGGGGGGGCCGAGCAGCAGTGGCTCAGCCCTGCCTCGCCTTCCTCTCTGCCACCAGCAAGCAGGGATCGGGGGTCGTGGCCACCTGGGAAAGTCAGACCACTGCCCAACCCAGAGCAAGGCCCAAAAGGCAGCCTCGCCTCGCCGTGTCCCCCCTCCCAGCGCCCTTTTAGCTGAGCACGATGGGCCCAGAACAGGTCTCCCTACTCCGATGTCGGCCTTACCTTCTCAGACCAGGATAGGAATGGCTCAGGTATTCAGCAGGTTCTGACCAGTTCTGGAGAACCAGTAGCAGAAATTTTGACTGGTTCAGAGAACTGGCAAATCCCACCTCTGACTGGCCCCACTAACCCCATCTATTCTCTGCCTCCATTGACTCCCAGCTAATTGGCTGGGTCTTCTTTTGTTGCCCTACACAGGAGAATGGAGCTGGAAAGCAGGTTAGTGGGGTGGGGAGGGAAGGGGGATTTTGCAGTAACCTTCCCCTGCCACACCCACCAAGCCATGCCATGCCCACCAAGCCTAAGCCATGCCACGCCCACCAAGCCCACCCACAGAACCGGTAGTAAAAAAATGTTGAATCCCACCATTGGAATGACGGAGGGGAGGGATGGGGCCAGTCAGTGGTGGGAATCAGATAGTTCGCTGAACTGCAAAAATTTTTAGCTCCCAGTTCAGGCCAACCGGTGCAAACCAGCTGAATCCCACCACTGGTTGAATTGACTAGTCCATGTTCCTGTAAAATGTGCAGCTTTGGTTGATCCCTGCTTTTTCTCTCCTGTAGGGGCCGTTCTGGGGATGCTCCTGACAGTCTTGGGCATTGCCATCTGCATAGTTGCATCTGCGCGCAAACATCCATGAGGTCTCCAAGGAAGAGGGGAAATTCTGTGGAAAACCGTTCTCATCTGTACAACTGCTTATACCACTCTCAAGAGTTGCAGCACGGGGTAAACAACCCCTGGCTCCACGTTAGAGAGAGCACGGTTTTTCATAGCCTGGCCATCGCTTCTTCATGCACTTGGATTCCAGAGACCTGTGTCCCAAGATCTTGTCTTGATGTTCCTATTAACCAGAAACTTTTGAGGACCCCGAGATTGCTTTAATGGAAGCAGCAAGATCAGGAGCCTTTAAGGGGATACAGAAAGATCTCAAAAGTGATAAGGAATTGCCCAGACAGATCTGATTTAAGAGCAGGATCAATAGCTACCATCTAGGAGTGTGTGTGTGTGAAGGATGAAGCAACACGTTTTAGCACGGAAAAGTCTACAATTGGCATAAAGTACCGTTTACATGGCTGACGCTAAATTGGTACCCAGAAATACAGTTTTGGAAATCTAAGTTAGGCTTCAGAATCCCTTATGAGTCTGTCATGACAGAGTTCCTGCTTCTCTAGCCCAACGTTTCTCAATCTTGGCAACTCGATAATGTGTGGACTTCAACTCCCAAAATTCCTGTCAGCTCCCTGGAAGTGATGTTGCTATTCAAGTGGGAGAATGGGTGGGTGGGGGGCTTGAATTCGATTCATTACTATTGTGTGCGACAACTGGCATTTTATAACTTGTACCCTGGTGCCGAAGCGCCCTGAGATATTCTCACTCTTGGGGAATGTGCTAGGGGGGAGGGCCACGTGGCTTGTTTCACTTTGAAAGCCAGCGGAAGATGGCCATGGGATTGTATGCTTACCTGTTCCTCAGAGTGGCCGGTACGGTAACATCTTCACACCTGTGGATTGGCTGAATCCGCATCTGCCTAAAGAGAGGACTTCCTAGTGCTTTAATTCTGCTTATCTTGCCTCAGGGTATTCAGGCGTTGCTTTGAATGTATTGCTTCCCCTTCTGCTTAATAAAGATTCCTTTTGAAATACTTCATTTCAAGAGTCTTCACTCTCTTTAAGTTAGGAGGAGAGGCAAACCTTACAGAAAGCAATATCTGCAAAACGGTCAACCCAGAGAAGCAAATTTTGCTCTACCGAGAGGACCCTCCAAACCCAGAGTGCTTGACTATCCCTGGGCAAGGGAAGCCCTGGACTTGGGGGCTGAGCTCTCCTGCTTGACTGCCCCTTAAAGAAGCCGCTTCTTCCTTTACCCATGGACACAGCAGCCCTTCTCCTTGAAGCTTGCTTGCCTGTGAAGTATGAAAGGCAGATGGACACTCCTATCTCCAGCGGTCCCTCCAAGAGCCTCTGCCAGGTGCTGAGGTATGCTGGTGTAAAGAAGGTCCTTAGGATGAAGTCCTGCAGGGTGGTAACTTTTTTGCCATCGCTCTGCAGAGCAACATTTACAAGTTTTGTACTGAGTTTTTGAGGTTAATGTTTGTAGACAGCCCAGAGCTGGGAAGGTGGGCAGCACATAGACCTAATCAAGAAATAAAATAAAGCAGCAAAGTTGGTGAAGGGCCATTTAAAGTTGTATCAAATGCCATTTCTGATTTCTGACCAAAATTATACTTGGTTGGTTTACATTTATAAACCGTGATTTAGCTGGAGCAGGAAGTACATATGAGGAGAAGGTGGTCTCGCCATTTTGCTTGTTTCTCTCGATTTCAGGTTTGAAGCCAAAAGATGTTCTTGAAGTCCAGGCAGATTTGAAAGAACATCCAAGCAAAAGCTTTGATCTTTAAATGACTTCTGTGTCTGAAAAAATATATTTGGCAATAAATGACAAGTCAGAGCCTAGAATAATCTGGCTTGAAAATTCTTCTGAGTTAACCCAGCGCAAGGACTCCCTGAGCCAGAAGCGAACCACTCACTGGGCGGGTCTCTGGCCAAGGCCTTGGTCTCGTTCGAGGCTGGCTGCATTGATCTGATACCCCACAAACCCTCTTCACTGAAATTCTCATCCCCAACTTTCTATGGCCACAGTGCCAGGATAATAAAATGGCTATTTAAAGGCATTTATTTATAGCAAATGTATCTGTAGCTTGACATTTTGATTGATATTAGAAAAAATTAGCAAGTCAAGTTGGGAGGGGAAAAAAAAGATGCACATTATTGGTTTTCTATCATGGCCATACTGATGCTACAATTTAAATTATTAAATGTATTCTGGATGTCTTATAAAATCTACACAAAATAAGGGAGAGTGAGAATGAAAGTGCAATAAGTCGTTCATCATGATATGTAATTTAAAGTGATGCTAATTTGTGCTCAAGAAGGAAGATGGCTTTGCTCTCTATATTGGACTGCCTTGAAAGGGGAAGACATGCCATGATGGACAGAAGAACTGCTGATTCGTGGGAACGGTGCCTTGGCAAGGGGAGAGAAGGAGCAAGCGGGCATGGTGGAAAGCCCAGCTTGTATCTGGTGGAGGTTGCTGCTTGACTGGCTATATGACAAAGTGGCCATCTTGGAGCAGTGGTGGGATTCAAATAATTTAACAACCAGTTTGCTGCCCTAATGATTGGCTGGGTAGACGTGGCCGGGTGGTCATGTGACTGGGTAGGCGTGGCCAATTTGACATCACTCATCACACTCAGCACCACGTCCTGGCCATTCTCCTTTTCCCCAGGCCTTGGACCTATACGCAACACCTCCAGTGTGTGCATATCTCCCCGCAGTGAGGGGGGGATATATGCCTCCAGTGCAAATGCCCCCCCCCCCCCCCAGTGAAAGGATGGGGAGAGACCAGCAAAGCATTCAGCTCCCATCACCAAGGAAAGGAAGACACTGGAGGCTGAGCTTATTAGAAAGCAATATGTTGTGTCATAACAGCCAACATTTCACACCTGAGGGGGCAGAAGCAATAAATCCAATTGACTCCTCAGAAGCAATTTACAATTTAAGCCCATTTACACTCCAAAATTAATCAATAAATAGAAAGAAAAGGATTGACAATACTTCTGTGCAGGCAATTCTGAAAGAGACCAAGCTAAAGCTGAATTAACACCCTTCCTTCCTTCCTTCCTTTTTTGGCCATTTTCTGGGCTAATTTTGGGCTGTTTCTGGCTGTTTATAGGCCATTTTTGGCCATTTTTGAGTCTGGTTATCCAGTGTTTTTCAGGCCATTTTTGGCCATTTTCCACCTGGAAAAATGGCCCAAAAATGGGGGGGGGGGGGGAGATCAGCCAGTGGTGGGATTAGCTAGTTCGCGGAACTGGGCAGAATTTTATCAACTGGTTCACGTGAACCGGTCCGAACCGGCTGAATCCCACCTCTGTCTTTTCTTTTCTTTCTGAGATCTTAGACTGTGGCCCCCTGGTGTCTACAGTAGAGTGGAGACCCCAAAGCAAATTGGATCCCCTGGTGGGAAAGATCTGGAGTGGCCAGGACCACCTTGTAAACGGGCTGTTTGGGGAATGTGAAGAGAGGGACTGAGGTTTCTTGCCAGTCTTGATGAGAGACTGGAGTCCGGTGTGAGTGTGTGTGTGTGTGTGTGTGTTCCCTACAAGGCTGATCAGTGAGGAAGGCGACCTCTGTTGAACGTGTTGCACTGGCTTCCAGTTTCCAGCAATTCAAAGTCCTGGTCATCCCCTTCAAAGCCCCATACGGCACAGGGCCAGGCTCTCGGTAGGGTCGCCTTTTCGGAAGGACAACTCTTATCCGACCAGGTCAGATAGGGCAAGCACGGTCCTGGTCCATTCCCCAAATATTGTCATCTGGGAAGTTAGGAAGCATGCCTTTTCCATGGCAGTCCCTAGCTCATGAAACCTTCTGTGCCCTGGAGTTCAGCAGGCCTCCATCCATGTAGCCTTCTGTAAGGCTCTAAAGACCTGGCTTTTCCCCTAAGCCCCGGGAGACAATCAGATGATGGCATGTTAGCATGGATTGGCACCAAGTGATTTGTTTTTAATGTTTTAACTGCTTGTGTTTTCTAGTTTTTATAAGAGTTTGCTGAAAGATGGGCAGCTATATAAATGTTATAAATAAATAATATTTGGAGATGGACCCTTTACCTTTTTTAAAAAAAAAACCCAATGTTGACATACATTTTTAACAGAAAAAAGATGTAACTATTTAACCTTAACCTAACAGGTTATTTATTTATTGCTATAAACCGAAGCAAAGGTTTGAACATATTAACAATATATTAACTACCTTTCACTCACGATCAGTGCAGATGACAACTACCCTCATTCATGATTATCAATAATGAGGATAAGCAGGAGGAATAAAGTCATCAATAGAACACAACAGTCTACCATCTTAAGTGTTAAAACAGCATTAAAAACACCAACAATATCAGATATGTAAGTGTATACAGAGGGAGGGAGAAATATCCCAAACATCCCACGTATATCTGAAGCCATGTTTGTCCTCCAGGTATTGGAGATGATTCTTACGAAATGGAAGAGATGGGGGCCTCCGGAGAGCCCATTTCCCTCAGCACCTGATCCAGCCATTTCAAAGCTCCATGAAGATGGATCTCCACCCAACACGGGGTGCTGGTGATTGCCTGACGGTGGTATCCTGCTCCCCAGCCCTACAGAAGAGACCAACAAATGGCAAAGGATGAGACGACTGCGGCTGCATTCTTCATTCTATTCAAAAATACTTTTTTGATTTTAGTCAAATATACCCATTACCTTTCCCTTTGCATTTTGAAGTACCGAGAAATCATAAAATTGTGGACAGGGCATCTAATAAAAATATGTGGACTTGGAGCAAATTGCATAAGGATTACTTCAACAACTCATACAGCATTCTTCAACAAAGAAGAATTAAGCAAGCTGAGTCTAATGTGGAGTTTCAGTTCATTACATGGTTTTTCATCTCCCGCTCGTCTAGGCTTGAATATCATTCATTCTTTTCCTGCACAAATCTACACAATGCTGTCGTTTAAATGATGCCACTTTTTGAAGATGTAGTGATTATGTAAGTGAAGTCTCGTTATATAGTTGCTCGCCATGGCCTGCTCACGGCTCAGCCGTTCGCCGTGGCCCATTTGCCACCGTCCGATCGCCGTTCGCCGCAGCCCATTTGCTGCAGCCTGTTTGCCACCGATCACCACGCCCCATTTGCTGCCAATGGGCAGAGAACAGGCCTTGGCAAATGGGCCACGGCAGCAGTAGCTCAGCCCCAGTTGGCTGCTGGTGGGCGCAACGGAGCAGAGCCCTGACGAGCCATGTGCTGGGGCTGCAACAACATGCTGAAGCTGACCAGGCTGTTTTCTGCAAGGACGCTAGCCAGATGAAGACCGGTTGGATGCTGGGAGACAGAGGCGGATTTTTCTTTTCTTGCTTTCCTCCCCTGAAGGGAATGTGTGTCTTATGGTCCAGACCGAAAAATACGGTAATCATTTATAACATCA